AAAAAAAAAAAAAAAAAAAAAAAAGAGGACGAAGAAGAAAAGGGGGAGAGGAGATGCTGTCTACAGACTCTCCCTTGCAGGCAGTGTGGTGTTCCAGTGGTCAGCAGTGAGGTGGGCCCGGGCGGCCGGGCTGTTTCTGTGACTATCACCGAGCCGCGATTTGCCCACTTGTGAGTGCAGCCACCAGTCCCCACCCTCCCGTCACGGGGCTGAGAGGCTGGAACCTGCTGAGGCTCACACACCAAGGCCCGTGGCTTTCTGGAGGGTTGGGTGGAGGGGTGTAACCCACGTCCAGGGGTGGGAGCAGCTGCGGCATTGATCGGGCCCGGAGTTCGCCTGCAGAACTCGGCACCTCCCTGGGACTGGCCCCCATCAGACGAGGGGAAAGGGAAGGAAGGGACTCACACATTTCCTGCCCAACCCACATCTCCCACCGTGTGAGAGGAGAAAGCACTGGGCCCAGAGTCCCCAAGTCGCCATTTTACTTCCCAACTGCTGCTCACGAGCTGTGTGACTGCAAGCAACTGACCTCACCTCTCTGAGCCTCGGGATCCTCTTTATTGGATCCTAATTCTGGTGTCCAGCCAGGCTGGCGGTGGATCGGGAGCTGGACATGATGCAGCCTGGGCGTTAATGTAAACACACAGGGGCTGCCGGGACTGGCCAGGGAAGCACACTGGGCCTGCAGACAAGTGGGCGAGGGGGCCTGGCCCAGCCTTGGACCAGCGGCCCCAGGGCGGAGGCCAGCCAGTGCCCAGACAGACAGCCCTGAGGCCTGGGGCCCACAGCTGGTGGAATGTGGGGTGGATGAGGCCAAGGCAGGGAGGCATGGGAATTGGGAGGCTCTGCAGCCCTGAGGTGCCCCTGCCCCAGAATGCCCAGGGCTGGGAGGCAGAGACCAGCTGGCAGAGCCTGCTGGAAAGCTGGGACAGGGGTGGGAGGAAGTAGCAGTTCAGGGAGCCAGACCCAGAGGGCCCTGACCCCTGGAGACTCAGGCGCCAGCCCGATGGGCTTGGGGCAGTCAGACTTCTAACCCCAGTGAGCCTATAGGACCCAGATCCTAGGACCTGGGGCTATTTGGCATCAAGAGCCATGGAGCAGGGTCTGCAGGTCTGTTTCTGTGAAGACCCTGACTGGCCAGCCCTGGCAGAAGCCAGCAACAGACAGGCCATCCCCACACCCAGGCTGGACACCCACTGGACACAGGCCCTCATTCACACAGGGTGCGTGGGCAGGGCAGGGAGAGGAACGGTCCCAGGCAATGATGGCAGGAGGACATGCTGGGTGGCCCCTGGGTGGGGCATGAGCCCTGCAACCTCAAACTTGGGATGCCGGCTTCCACTAAGACCCACCCCAGCCCCCTGTTTCTCTCCTCCTCCCCAATTTCTACGCAAAGGAGCAGCTGAGTGGTGTGATGTGAAAAAGGGCTCCCACCCCCGACTCGGCCTCACTGCTACCCTGGACTTCTCACAGACGAGACCCCAGGCCCTCCTGGCAGCCCCAGACCCGGCCCATCATCTCCCAGCCCGCCTGGGAGGAAGGAAGAAGCCAGGGAAGGGGCCAGAAAAGGGAGGAGTGGGGGTTCCCCCCTGGGCCTGGTGGAAAAGCCTCGCTACCTCTGCCCCTTTCCTCAAGCTGGGCCCCGGTCTGAGGCTCCAGGGCACCTCCTAATCACCATCCTGGGCATCCCCCCTCACCTGGGCCGTCCCCACCTCGGGCTCTGCTGCACCCGCATGGAGCCCTCCTCTGTGGCTGGGTTTGGGGTCCGCCTAACCCTCCTAGCTCTACCACTGTCTGTTGAGACTTTGGGCAAGGCTGTTCAGCCCCCTAGGCCTCAGTTTTCTCCTCTATAAAACGAGCCAAATAGGAGTTCCCACTCCTCAGGGCTGTGGTGACACGGGATATATGAAACCATGCGATTTAAAGCACTCAGCACATGACCTGGCTCACCCTCGGCGCGACAGACGGCAAGTGTCATCGCTGTCGGTTCATCCTGCTCACGGCCCCGGCCGGACACCCCCCACACTTCACACTAGGTGATGTGGGGACCAGAAATGAGGGGGACCAGCAGGCAGGCCTCAAGGAGCTCCCAGTTTGGGAGGAAGCAGATGCAAACAGCGGGCGACAATAAGAGACTGGAGCCTCATCAGGACGGTGACACATGAGGTGGGGGTGGGGACACCCCCTTCCTGGCAAAGAGCTGCTGGGGATGGAGGGAGCCCACGTGCCACTCCCACTTCGCTACTCGGGAGTCCCGTGAGCTGGGACAAGGCCTTCACATCTCTGAGCCTCAGTTTCCTCATTTGCAAATTGGAGACAGCCCCCTCCCCATGACTGCAGCCCTGGCTGGACTGCAGAGAGGAGCAAATATGCGGGGGCCACAGGGGGGATGACCGGCATGGCACCTGCCCCTCTGTTCCCTTTTGCCTCGTAGAGCAGGCAGTTCTGCGCTGGGTCTTAAGGGATGGATAGGAGTTCGCCAGGCAGAGACAACAGAAAGGGTGTGTCAGACAGAGGGCACAGCATGCTCAAGGGAAGGGAGGCAGGACAGGCAGGACACAGCGGGGATGGAGGGACAGCCCAGCTTCCCCGCCAGGCCTTTGAGGACACGCCTCTCCTTCTAAACCTGCTTTCCCTCCCACAGCCTGAAGGTGGCAGCACCTCCAGCGGCACCTTCCGCCCCCTCCTCCAAGGATTGCCTCCCACTGTCCTTTCAAGGCCCTGCTTGTCCCGCCTGGTCCCTGTGATCACCACAAGAAAGGCCCAGCTCTCTGCCTGGCACTAGCCAGGATGGGGCAGCAAGGCTGGCTCCAGGAGGGCATGGACCAGGCCTTCTCCACAGGCCTCCTGGGCCCAGCCATGGCCCCTGCATGCAAGAGGCACTCCAGGCAGGCTTTGGGGTCAGCGTGGGGCACGGGGAGCTCAGGAGAAGTCAGTAGGAAGGTGACGAAAAAGGGGGTGTGGGATGAGTGCTGTGTGTGATGGAAGGGCCCCTAATTTTGGCCTGGCGTCAAGGTGGAGGACCTGATCAAATGGGCTGGGGGCGGAGGACAGCTGGGGAAGTTGGGGGTGTGGGGGCAGCCGAGGGAGCCAAGGCCACAGCCAGGGACATGGATGTTGGCAGCACATGCAGACAGCAGCCCCCCACACGCAGCAAAGCACCCCTCACCCAGCCCGCCTCCCACAAAGTGTGTACACACCTGACATCCACCTTCCTCCTAAGGGCCAGCGAGAAAGAAGCAGAGAGAGGGAGAAGCTGAGAGGGGGTCGGACGGAGAGGGAGAAAGCGAGGCCGGGGCCGGGCATGGGATAGGAAGGGGGCCCGGGGACTGGGGGCGAGGCAGAGGCAGAGCATGCGGGCTCCACACCGTCCTCTGTCGGCAGCTCCCTTAGGGCAGGACCAGCGGACACTGAAATCCCAGAGTGGTTCTCAGCGGCGGTGGGCTGGGGCACTCACGTGTTGTTGACAATCTGGAGCCGCTCCCCTTTCTTGAAGGACAGGTCGGTCTCCGTCCGTGATTCATAGTCATAGAGGGCCACGAAAGTGGTCACTCCGCCTGCAGAGCAGTGGGTGCATCAGGGGCTGGGTGGGGTGGCAGGACGGCCCTGAACTCCATAGGCAGGAGCGGTCTGTCTCACACCAGCGGCGCCCAGCCCAGAGACGTGGTCACAGGAGGGGGGACCTGTGTGCACCCACGGTGCCCAGGCACCTCACACACGTCCTGCGTGACTGAGTGTTCCCAGGCTGCAGATGGTGCTCTGCGCATCTGCGGATGTCTGTCTTGCACACAGTAGGTGCTCAGGAAAGGGTTGTGGGCTGGATGAGTGGGGAGGAGGTTTGCGCCAGGGCGGGTCGCCCTGTCTCTGTGCACAGATCTGAAGAGATCTCCCTTGCAGGCAGCTGTCCCTTCCTAGAGGCCCTCTCTGTCCTCCCGTTTGAAATTACAATCTCCCCCTCCTCAGAGTACAGCCCTCACGCCTCCACGCTGCCCTTCCTGGGCCGGCACGGAGGTTCCCACCTCCCAGCACCCCACGCCTAGTATACCTTGCCTTCATTTCTCTTCCCCGGGGCAGGGGAGACAGAGTTTTGTTTTCTGCACTGCACGGTCCCGTGTGGAAGGGTCCAGGCACATGTGTGATAGATGGGCGTGTTTGCAGGTCCCTTTGTCTCGCTGGGCGTGTGTCTGTGTCGCAGAAGTCCAGGCCTGCCTGAGTGTCTGTGCGTGTGTTCTCGCTGCACGCACATGCACCTGTGCATCTGCGTATCTGTCTCCACTAGGGTTTCTGGCAGAGTCTGCTTTCATCTGCAAGTATGAGGTTGTGGGTGTGTCGGTATGAGTGTGCCTCTGCACTGGGTGTGTGAGTGCCTCTGACGGTGTGTCACCTCAGCACAGTACGTGTCCTGTGTGGGTGTGTATCATGTGTGGCTCTGAGTGTGTTAGGAAGAGTGCACGTGTTTGTGTGAGCAATCTGTCTCTCAGATCGCAGCGGAGCACTCCAAGCATCCCTGGCCTGGGCTGCCCTACCCGCACATGGCCAGCAGAGGGCGCAGGGGCGCATCTGGGCGTCGGACCCAGCCTCTGAAGACCCGAGCTCGGGTTCCCCCAGTCACCTACCCACCGGCCCCTCTGCCACACACGTACCCCAGTCCTGACCGGTCCTGAGCCATGAGGCAGCAGCCTCAGGCCCTGCCCCTGGCCTCAGCGGCCCCCGCCCCCCGCGCATTTGATCCACTCCCGAAGCCACAGGGAACGCGCCAAGCTGCAGTTACAGGCGCTTCCTCACCCACTGCCACCAGGAACGTCCCACACACTCTCCCCCTTTCGGGGAGAGCAGCCGCCCAGAGAGGCACACAGGCACACAGCCCTCCTGACCAGGAGGAGCCAGGACATCGCACCCCCATGCCCAAGTCACTGACCAGCCAGCGGCCCGGCCCTCTGCGGGGAGGTGACAGTGTCCGAGGAGTTGAAGCCTCCAAACAGCTTGGGCTCCGTGGCTGCGGGGCCGAAGGGTGCGTTGGGGCCGCGGTGGCCACCGGCAGAGGCTGGCTTGCTGGGGGTCTGCGAGGTGGGGAAGGCCCCGCCCGGGACGCCGTGGGCGCTGTCGGCGGGGGCCCGGCTGCGGCGCCGCGCGCCGGGGGG